TGCTCGCGGACAGTGCTTTCTCAGATACTCCACCGAACCACGTAAAGATGTATAATCGGGAGATGAGCAGTTCTGGCATATCTTAAAAATGAAACATTATTTTACAGTGAAGCTGCCTCATTCGAAAAAGCCTGCCAATGCTAGGAGCCCAATCCTACACGTTTTGATATGAATGTAGAAAAGCTCTTGAAATTGATGTACGTGAAGAAGCTGACAGAGCTAATGCAGTAATGGAACAAGTACGTTGATTTGAATGTACAAAAACCGCCGAAACCATCAAATGTGGTGCTGTGAATATAAGAAAACATTAAAAGAAATTGCTTTCTACTTTTGCGACACCTTATACTTCGTCAAAATCGGAAATCTATGCAAAAAAAAAATTCAATAAAATATGAAAATCTCAGTAACCACAAATGTAATAATAATTAGGTACCTGATCGGTGCCAACAGTGATTATTATCAGTAGCCATTTGCTCCTTATTGCCCTTGGTCCATAATGAAATTGCAGACGACGGACTAATTCCTTTGCCTTCAAATGATTGATATAAAAAAGATGGGACTCATCCGGTGATTTTCGAATAATCCAGTTCCTGGGGCACAACAAAGTTGCTGTTCAAGACAGTGGCCAGTGATTGACAATCGCTCACCTGCTCAAGCATATCCACACTCTGGGCGCCACTCCTCGCGCAATTCATCTGTGACTGTGGTAATTGCTCAATCGTTCCCATGCCATGCGATTGCCCCTCCAGCTTACTGTTGAATTGTCGTAATACATCTGTAACACAACGTTTATATGGGCTAAAAGACTGTCCGAAGAGTTTATAACTGCCTTCCTTGTTCCTCTAGGTTATCGACAATCGCTTATAAAAAAAAATTTGGAAAAAGAAAAAATAAATTTATATCACGATTTTCTTCAACTATTATTTGAATTTTAGGTTTTCCCTCAAATTCCTGCTAACAAATCTAGTCTTGAAAGGGAAACCAGCGTCAAGATCGCCAACATCAAGCAATGCCGCATACCCCAGAGTAATTCGTAAAGCTGCCAGCTGCAGAGGGAGAGGGAGAATCGGACTACGAATTATAGCTGATCTGAGTATTCAAGTAATAAAGATAAAACTGAATTGGTGGGGCATTTATTGAAAAATTGGTTAGCTTCGAGTAAATAGAGCCGGTGTAAATTACTGCGACATTGGGATCAGCTGACAAAGGAGTTGGAAAGTTCGGAAGTTTAAATTTATTTTAAAATTTCCGATTCTCGGAACATTCTTGAAATATCAATCTGCTTTAAATAAAGCCAGCAAATAGTAATTTGCTAAGTAGATTTCAGTTTTCAGGCCAACCCTGGAAGTGCAGATGGCGGGATGCGCAAGTGCTAATGCTGAAACTATCGAGAGATTTTGAATAACCTGAGAGGTATAAAAAACAGTTTATTGTCCACGAAAAGCGGAATCCAGAAGAAGCCCGGGAAGTAACAAAACACCAAAAGCGAACCCCGCTGAAAAGGCTGTCGATGGCTGTCTCAACGGTTGTTTATTAGCGACCTTGTCTAAGTTGAAAGCGCTAGTACCATCTTACGACAGAAATCAATGAGTCAAAGAAGAAGAAATGGTTGCCGCGTTGGCTAAGCCCAGGATAACGATGACAATTCGAAATAAACAGCGACATGCACCATGGTAAGCGGTGCGATCATGTGTTTTGCGCAGTTCCGAACAGCGGAAATTTGCCTGCCAAGGATTTTCACTGTTTTACACTTTGGTCTACTGTAAATAATCAATATGATGCGAAACTTCTCATTAAAAGTTTCACGTACCGGGAGTCAAATTTGAATTTGTTAGACTCGGCTTCAGGAGGATGCATAGCAAAATCCTCTTCAAGTTTTCAGCCTCGTAGCTCTTCTCACACACGAGAATTTTCCCGTCAAAACTTTCACGGAGCCGTACGTGAGTCCCAGGTTTACATGAAAGTTGAATTCGAATGTGTGTAGTTGTACACGGGCAGAGGACATTATCCAAAAATTCCAGCCTCCAGCTTTGTGGTTCCCAAAATAACTGTTTTTCCCACCAAAACTTTTGCAAGGTCGTACGCGGTACTAAAACGTGAAGGCTTAGTTTAAGTTTGCGGTGTCGCATGCAGACGAGGAACATCCTGTTAGAATTTCAGCTTCCCAGCTATTGTGGTTTCCGAGTTGAAAGTGCGGGACAAAATGAACTTGGACATACACACACACACACATATATATGCATACATAAAAACACACACACACACACATACACACAAAGGCGTGACAATATGCGACTTTTGCTATTGTTACACAGCGCAAAACGTATTAAAGAAAAATTTAATGTCAAATTTTGCATGTGACTTACTGGGAATGCTAATAATTTCATCAATATCAGTATCACCACCGATTGGGAATGCCGCGCCGCGCATCTCAATTTCAGAATTAAGCCATAAACCTTTTCCAGCCTGCAATACATTATTAATGAGGATAAAGAGATAATCATTCGCAAACACATACTAAATCAGGCAATTTTACATCTTCTCAGAGATCAGTGAATGCATGAACACTGATGCTGAACTGTTCAATGAATTTCTCACAAATAGTGAAATGCTTTTTTCCAAGCAAAATTGCATGAATTGGCTAACGGTCAAGACGAAAACAGGCGTGTTGGCGCGGAACACATTCTTGGACAAGCTGCAAGTTAGGTACTTGCTTATATCAAAACAAAGGCTAACTGGCAGAACTGGCGGCGGAAAACAACTAAGAACATGCCCAAGACAAACCCTGAACGACTAAGGATGGAAAACAGTCAAGCAGTCGATCAGAACTAAAATAATTGGCCAGCGCCCCGTCTGCCGGTGTGGAAATATGTTTTTTACACAGTTCCCCGCAGATTTTTGTCGTTAACGGCATTGCTTTTTCGACAAATGCTTCTAGGTAACTGGTCACCACGACTGTACAGAAAATATCCCCATAAAATTTCAGCTCTCTAATTTCTCCAGTTCCCGAGTTATCAACTTGCCCGCTAAAAACTTTCACGGGCCTCACGTGAGAGCCACATGGGCAAGATAGTCCATTTTGGGCGTAGGGGTTAGTGCATGCGTGTAGATCAAGTTTCCAAAGTTTCAGCCTTGTAGCTTTTGTAGATCTTTAGATGAAAATTCGGTACAGGGCATACAGAGACTCAGACATACACATACAGAAAAATCCTCGACAATTTGCGTTTTTGTACTACGTAGATGCAAAAAACGCACAAAAAAAAAAAAAAATAAGCAGTTCCCGACGAGAAATGGCCACAGGTTTCTTCTTGGTCAAAAAAGTCTGAAATACAAAAAAGCGCGGTTTAAAATCCAAAAAAATGTTAAACATGGAAAAAGAAAACAAACGATACCGCAATAGAATCGCCCATTGCAGCAATGATATCAATGTTTTGTGGCAATAAATCGGCGGTGGAATGGCCACTTCGCAGAGACGATGAAGCGTGTGGACATGCAAACGTACGTTTACTGGTAAACGAAAGTGTGAGATTCGTTTCGAACACAGCTCCAATGGGCATCGTCATGCTGGTTGATGAGTTTGAGGCACTGGAAGAGTATAAAATTTTCAACAATTCCCTTTAGTAGGGATAGTGTAGAGATAAATGGCGCTGCTTTCGCGTTGAAGGTCGATAACTCAACTTCCAATTCCGCCAACGGAACAGCTAATCCCTGTTCAATTGGATCACCTGCCCCGATAGTGAACTGGCACGGATACATAGCAGACAGTCAGACCCGTCATCAGCTTGCTTACCAGAAAGCAATGAAAGAAAAGGCCACTGAAAACCATACCTGCTGCTGATACGCGTTCGCTGCCAGTCGGGTTAGTTCCGAGTGCGCGCCTTTGGAATAAGTGAAATAAATAGCAACACACACCAGAACAGCCGGTGCGATCATGCGTTTTGTGCAATTCAGCCCATCGAACGATTGCCTATTAGTGATTTCCACTGCTTTGTACTTTAGTCTATGCAAAAATAGTTCAAACATTGGAAAACAGTTAAAAACGCACCAGCGTATGAAAGCTGAATTCGAAACCTTGAAGGATGAATATCTTCCCGTGATTCCCGATGCACCAGCGTATGAAAGCTAAATTCGAAACCTTGAAGGATGAATATCTTTCCGTGATTCCCGCGTTAATAGTTTGCACTAGCGCATGAACGCTGAATTCGAAACCTTGAAGGATGAATATCTTTCCGTGATTACCGAGTTAATAGTTTGCGCGCCAAAATTTCCACCAGGCCGTAGGTGGCACCCGAGAGCGCGAAAATGCTGAATTTGAATAAGCAAGGTTGAGCGGGGGCAGAGGGTCACTCCCCCAAAATTTCGGCCTCGTAGACTCCGTGGTTCCCGAGATATTAAGTTACTTGTGAAAAACTTTCACGGGGCCATAAGTGTTACCCGCGGGTATTGGAAGGCTGATTTAGAACAGGCAAGATTCAGCGTGGGCAGGGGATCATTACCCTAAAATTTGAGCCTCCTGGACTCCGTGGTTCTCGAGATATTAACCTGCCCGTGAAAAACTTTCACGGGGCCGGATGTGTTACCCGCGAGTAAGGGAAGGCTGAATTTGAATGGTCAAGGTTGAGCGTGGGCAGAGGGTCATTACCCTAAAATTTCAGCCCCCTAGACTTCGTGGTTCCCGAGATATTAACTTACCCGTAAAAAACTTTCACGGAGCCGTACGCGTTACCTGCGAGTACGGGGAAGCTGAATTTAAATTTGCCGGGTCACATGTGGGTGAGGGACGTTCCCTCAAGTTTTCAGCTTCCTAGCTTCTATGGTTCCCGAGTTGAAAGTTGCGGACAAGTTGCTGCGGACACACTAACACACACAGACAACCCCGTGACAATAAGCGTTTTGTAACGCTGTTACACAGCACAAAACGCATAAAAAGAGAAATTTTTGAATCGACCTTTTTTTAGTAGAAAAAATATATAAGTGACAGTGATATGCAATCAATTCAGTCGCCTGATTACACCGCATATCTCCAGACATGCGTGCAGCAAGAAATAGAAAGGAAAGAAGGCGCAATGGAAGTCCGACCAAGAAGTGATCATTTCAAAATGGGAATGTCAGCGTGGTAAACTTGGGATGGTAATAAAAACATCAGTAACGTGCGTACCAGTATGAAACATATAGTATAAAAACTTCATAACCAATTATAATAAGTCACCGGGTTGCAGATAATTAGCTTTTGTCTTCCCCCTCCTTCTCCATTTATTATGCGTTTTGTGCTGTGTAACAGCAGTACAAAACGCATATTGTCACGGGGTTGTCTGTG